ACTGGCCACACGTGGCCGCTGAGCATTTAAAATTTGGTTCACATGATGGAGGAACCGAGTTTTAAATTGTCTAAAATGTTAACTAATGCCGGACCGGTTTGGCTCAGTGGATAGAGCGTCGGCCTGCAGACTGAGGGGTCCCAGGTTCGATTCCGGTCAAGGGCATGTACCTTGGGTTTCAGGCACATCCCCAGTGGGGGGCGTGCAGGAGGCAGCTGATTGATCTCTCTCATCGATGTTTCTGACTCTCTATCCTTCTCCCTTCCTCTCTGTAAAAAATCAATAAAAAAATATATATTTAAAAAATAAAAAATAAAATAAAATGTTAACTAATTTCACCCTAGACGGTTTGGCTCAGTGGATAGAACGTCAGCCTGCAAACTGAAGGGTCTGGGGTTAGATTCCGATCAAGGGCATGTACCTCGGTTGCAGGCTCCTGGCCCTGGTAGGGGACATGTGGGAGGCAAATGTGTCTCTCTCATATCAGTGTTTCTCTCTCCCTTCCACTCTCTGTAAAAATCAATGGGAAAAAACATCCTTGGGTGAGGATAAAAAAAAAAAAAAGTTTAGCTAATTTCAACATACAGGGCCACCTGTGGCTAGTGGCCACTGTATTAGACAGCGTAGGACTTGGGGTCCCCCCCAAGTCTGATCACGTGGAGGGAACTGAAAAGATAGCTGGAGAGAGGGAGGAACCTGTAAGGGGAAGGACACAGGCTGGGCTGGGCGTGTGGGGGTTTCCTCCAGACGGACCCTCTCTCTGGCAGCCTAGCTGCCTGCCCCCCTGCCTGGTACCTGCAGCCTGGCCACCTCCTGGTCCACCTTCTGGCTGGCCTCCTCCTGGCTCCTCTGCAGGGCACTGCAGGCCACCTCCCGGCTCTGCTCCTCCTGTTCCAGCTTCCTGGCCAACTTGGTCAACCTGAGGGCACCGGCCAAAGGTCACAGCAACCCGGCCAGCCGGAGGGGTTACTAGGGGAGCCACAGGGAAGCTGGCAGGGCCCTTCTCAGGCCAAAGCTGCACTGGGGGCCCGAGGCTGACCTACAGACCTGCGGATCCGGAGGTGCATAGCTCACCTGAGCAAACACAAAGAGGGCAAGACGCTGGCATCCCTGCCCCTCCCCCCGGCATGGTGAGAGCTGGGCCCTGGTAGGGACCTGTGGGAAAGGGGATGGTTGGGGACCCAAGTTCAAGTCTCTTTTTTCCACAGAAGATCCACAAGGTGTCTGAGGCTCCCTGTCAACCGCAGCTTGGCACCGAGGGTATGTGAACACCTCCCTGCCTTGGTGACGCCCAAATGGCCGCACACAGCAGATCCAGAACCAGCCCCTGGGGAGGGAGGCGAGAGGTGCCCACCTGAGGTTGGCCTCCTGCTTGGTGCCCTTCCGCTCTGAGTCCTGGAGTGCCTGCTTCTTCCTGATCTGGGTCAGGGCCTCCCGGACCTCCACCAACCTGGCACACAAGAGCCGCTTCTGCCTGGGGCCTGCCCGGCTGCCCTCCTGGTGGCCAGGAGAAGCCCAGAGCAGGCTGGGCAGCCTTCAGGGGCTGGAAGCCCAGCCAAGGGCCCAGCAGCAAGCCCCCACCCCTTCCCCAGGCCTCTGTAGGCTGCCAAGGCTCATACAAACCCAGACCTTTTGAGTTCTGCCATGGGCATGTACTGCTTCCCGGGGCAAGACAACTAACTGGGAAAACAAAACCCTGTGGCTGATGCTCTGAGGGGTCCGGCACCAGCCACTGCTCTCCCCAACCCCTTCCCTCCTGCTGAGACCTGCACCACGAGCACGGGGATACCTCTTGTCCAGGGCCTGCATCTTGTTCTGGTTCTGGGGGCTGGGGAACTGCAAGGAGGAGGGTGTGGGCTGAGTGTAGGCCTGGGGCCCTCACAGCCTGACCAGCACAGACACAGCCTGTGGGATTCTCCGGGCTCCCAGCCTGGGCAGCAGCATTGAGCTGGGCTCAGGGTCCAGGAAGCAGCTGCCCGACCCCTGGGAATGGGGGAGCCCGGCCTGTGGGTGGGGATGAGCTGCCTCCCAGCAGGTGGGTGTCTCACCTCCAGGGCCTCCTTTTCAGGGACCCAAGCTGCCTGTTGTAGCTCCTGCTTCAGCTTCTTCAGCTCCGAGTCTTGCAGCTGCACACTGGCCTGCACCTGGCGCAGCTCTTGGAGAAGGCTCAGTGTGGCACGCTCACAGTAGTCCTTGTGTCCCCGTAGGGACACCACCTCGGCCTGCAGGTCGGCCACCCTGGCCAGGACGAGGAGCAGGCCGAGTCGGCACACGTGCCTTGGGGCTGATGTGTGGCTCTCCCACTCCGCCCCCGCGGGGCTCACCATTGCTCCAGCTGCTTCCAGCGCCTGGGGGTGTCCTGCTCCGGGACGGACGTGGTGGACGCCAGGCAGCTGGGCTCATACCTCTCTGAGATCTCCTCCAGACTCAGGAGCTCGGGGCTGGCCAGCCCTTCCTCCAGGAGGAGCCCCAGGTCCTCCAGGGTGATAGTGCTTAGCTGCGAGGGGGGCGAAGCCCCGGACGAGGAGTTGCAATCAGCCATCTCTGCAGAAAGGCACCTTCGAGCTCGCCACTTGGCCTTCTGGGCTGACAGGGATGCTGGTTCCTGGATGGAGCTTAGGGTAACAGGGGCCCAGAATCAGTGCGACTGCCACGGAGTGTGCCTAGCCAGCTCACTGGGCTCCTTCTGCTGTCACACAGCCCAGCCCAGAGAGGGCTCGGCTCTCATCGCTCCACTACCGGAAACTCGGCCTCAGAGGTGCACTCCCTGCCTGAGGACACAGCACTGGGCAGCAGAAATGGGACAATGTCCTGTCTGGCCAGGCCAGAGGGAGCCCCCAGGCTGTGAAGCTACCTGGGGATCACACCCCTCTGCAGGCCCCTCCCTGGACTGTCCTGGCTCTGGCCCCAGTTGGTACCTGGTTCACTGGCCCCAGCTTCACCAGCAGCCACTGCCTGCAGGCCCCTCCCTGGACTGTCCTCCTGGCTCTGGCCCCAGTTGGCACCTGGTTCACTGGCCCCAGCTTCACCAGCAGCCACTGTTTTTGGCTTCGGCCACTGCCAAGAGGCCCTGGCCTAGCACCCTGTGGCTGCCCAGAGCTGGAAACCAGGGTGGTTGCAGGGGGGGAAGGGGAGTGGCTGGGGGAGGCAGGGAAGTCAGCCCTGGACCTTGGGGGGACACATGGGGTGTGAAGGGATGAGCTCCGGTCCTCATATCTCACCTCCTTCCAAGACAATACCAAGGTAGGCAAGGCAGCCGGGGCTCTTCTGGAACCTTCTTTTCCTCACCAGAACTTCGTGAATTTCTGGCCCAACTGCCAATGGAACCTGAGCCCTCAACTCTCCTGTTCCTGCAAGACCTCCCCAACTGCCTGTTTCTGGAAGGATCTGAGGTGGCACCAGAGGTTAGGGTCAGGAGACCTCTGGCCTGGGCAGGAGCGATGCCAAGGAGTTAAACCAGAGCAGGAAGGCCGGGACCCCAGACGGACTGAACACAGCCAGTCCTGCAGCCAAGAAAACAGGCCCTGAAGGACTATCAAAGGAAACAGGGTGTTGCCATAGGTGTGGGCTACACCAGGACATTAACTTTCTTAGCGGCCACAGTAAGGAAGTAGCCAGCTGGAGCCTGGCTGGCATGGCTCAGTGGTTGAGCATCTACCTATGAACTAGGTACAGTGGTTCTCAACCTTCCTCATGCCGCGACCCTTTAATACAGTTCCTCATGTTGCGGTGACCCCCAATTTCATTGTTACAAATTGAACATAATTAAAGCATAGTGATTAATCACAAAAACAATATGTAATTATATATGTGTTTCCTGATGGTCTTAGGCGACCCCTGTGAAAGGGTCTTTCGACCCCCAAAGGGGTCACGACCCACAGGTTGAGAACCGCTGAACTAGGAGGTCACGGTTCAATTCCCAGTCAGGGCACAAGCCCGCTCGATCCCCAGTAGGAGGCGTGCAGGAGGCAGCCGATTGATTCTCTCTCATCATTGATGTTTCTCTCTCTCTCTCCCTTCCTCTCTGAAATTAATAAAAATGTTTTTTTGTTGCTAAGAAAGAACATGACAGTTTTAAAATACAAGTAGCAGGGTAGTGCCTTTGATTCAAATATTTTAAGTTCTTGTTTTCTGTAACTGAGTGCTTGCTGTTCCTGAATATGCAAGAATAACTTTTACACCATTCCCACCCAACACTTGATTGGCTTTGCAGAAAATAAAGTTTTAAAAAATATATAAAATTCATTAAAAAAAAGAAAATAGCCAGGTGGAGTGAACTTCAATAGTCCATTTTATTTAACCCAGTTCATCTAAAATACCATTTCAACATGTACTCAACACAATGAGTGAAATGCTGTCCTCGCTTTCTCCCCACCGCGTCCGAAGGCTGGTGAAGGTTAGGTCTCACTTCAGGCCGGTGCACCAGCCCCTCTAGCCCCTCGCCCTCCCCATGTCACCTAGACCTGCCACTGAGCGCTGGCTGGGGCTTCCCTGTGACAAGAATGCTTGTCAGCTTCTCCTCCAGGGGGAGCCACACCACACGCCTCGTGGCCAAGCAGATCAGGTTGGAGACAGATGTGCTGAGCTGCCTGCTGACGGAAGGGCCTCTGGGTAGAAGCCCTCCCTACCGGACTCTGTAGCTGCCCAGACATGCAAATGAGGATTCGTGGTTGGTGCCCGGGGGTCCCCTCCTGAGGAAGTGTCGCCTCCCCACCGGACTCTGTAGCTGCCCAGGAACAACACTGCCCAGACATTCAAATGAGGATGCGTGGTTGGTGCCCGGGGGTCCCCTCCTGAGGAAGTGTGAGGGCCCCAGCTACACAACCCCCTGGTTTCCTGGCCTCTCATCTGTGTCTCCCTCCCAGTGACATCCTCTGGGGTGCTGCCCTCCCGCACCACGCATTGAGGATGGTCTCATCCCAGACACCCCCACCCCATGGCCCTGGAATCCGGGCTGCTAGACTGTGGTCCCCGCTAAGCAGAAACAGGAAGCTGGCGCAGGTTGTCTGGGTACAATTCCTTTATTTCTCCTACTCAGACTTCCCACATTCAGATCCTGCTCCCCCCACAGGACTCCCCACCAGGACTGGACCTGCGATTCGAGGCCCCACCCCCTTGAAAGGAGCTAAAACCAAGGCGCAGCACCCACCAACTCCCTACTAAAGCATCTGAATCACCTCATCAGAGATGGGTGGGGACTTGGGAATCACCTTTAAAAACCTTCCTCGGAGGGGAACAGCATCCCTGCTGCAGGCTCGCTTGAAAGGGGCAAAAACCAAGGCGCAGCACCCACCAGCTCCCCACTAAAGCATCTGAATCACCTCATCAAAGATGGGTGGGGACTTGGGGATCACCTTTAAAAAACTTCCTCGGAGGGGAACAGCATCCCTGCTGCAGGCTCGGCAGCTCAGCCCAAAGCCCAGCGGCATGGCCCGGAACCAGAGCCGCCCAGAACATCGCCCCTGGCCCACCCACAGGCCCATGCTGAGAAGACCCGCCTTCCCAGCCTCGGTCCCAGTGGCAACAGCTGTTCATCTGGACTCCAGCTCCAGAGGGCTTGGGTGGCATGTGTGACAGAACTCGGGTTCAGGCCCACAGTGGTTCTCAGCTCTCCTCTGGCCAAGACTTCCTCGCAGAGTCCATGGCCTCCCGAGTGGGGTTGCGGGCCAGGGCACACACAGGAATCTGGAGAACAGCCGGCTTCCTGACAGCCTGCTCCAGTCTGCTGCCCCAAGCCCTTGCCTTTGGTCTTTCGGCTGGGCCTTTGCCCAGGTAGGTCCCAGCTGCACAGGCCTATCACCTCACGGCCGCAGACTGGACCGTGGGGACAAGGCCCAAGGCCTCCAGCTGGCAGTGTCCAGGCGGCGTGGTCTTTCTGTCCAGCACTGAGAGTCACGAAGAGCAGAGAAGCAGGGTGGCCCCGGCCTGGGGGCCTGCAGCACTCAAGTCCACAGGGCCCAGCTTGCTCGCTGCCTCACACACGTGAACACACCATGAACACACACAAACACGCACTGAGACGCACACATGCACACACGACCTCTCGCTGGCTGAGGAAGCGAGCATGTGCATGAACATCTGCTCCCTGAGGGCGAAGAAACAGGAGGATGGAGAGTGACATCCAAGGGGCTGAGGCAAGGGGGAGGGTGGGGAACACTGACAAGGTGCCCATCGATGGTCACGCTCACACTGAGACGCACACATGCACACGCGACCTCTCGCTGGCTCTGAGGAAGCGAGCATTTGCATGAACATTTGCTCCCTGAGGGCGAAGAAACAGGAGGATGGAGAGTGACATCCAAGGGGCTGAGGCAAGGGGGAGGGTGGGGAACACTGACAAGGTGCCCATCGATGGTCACGCTCACACATCGGCTGGGCCATCCCGAGGTCTGAGGACAACAGATCTGCTGCCGCCCGAGGAGCGTGTTCAGGACCCCAGGTGAGGTGCCAGGGCCAGGGTCTCACGTCTGGGCCAGTGAGAGCTCCTCCAGGCCCCCCTTCCCAAGCCGGTACCTGGCCAGGTCTTTCCTGGTTACCAGCCCGACCACCTGTGGGAACAAAGCCAGGTCATAGGAATCCAGTGGCTCTACTCCTCCTCTGTGGAAGCATGTGGGGGGAGCAGCACAGTTTAGGGGAGACCCGGAGGTGAACATATGGCCAGTCTGGATCCTGGGCCTCAGAGTCTCCTGCAGAGAGCACCTGTGCACCTGTGCAGGGCAGGCAGGCCAGCAGGGAAAGGGGCCCTCTGCCCTCCCTAGCTACTCACCTGATTGTGGTTGTCCACTACCACCAGATGCCTGAGGCCCAGGGCCCGGAACAGCTTGAACACCCGAGGGAGAGATGCCTCCTGCAATGTGGTCAGGGCCTCAGCTTGCCCACTGGCCCAGACTGGCTCCAGCCAAGAGCAGAGGCAGGACCCACCAAGCTCAGGGCTGGCCGTCTCCCATCACACCCGCCGCGACCAGGACATCAAGATGCGCCCTAAAGCACCCCTTCCCCCCATGCCAACCAGCCCTATCCCAGTCATGCTGCTGGTGTCTGGCTCTACAGTCATGCCCATCCCCCAATCCTTGTCCTGGGTGTAAGGACGGAGCTCTTCCCATTTCTCCATGGATTCCACCCCAGCCCTCCCTGGCAAGCCACTGAAGGCCACTCAAGACCCTGCAAGTGGGAATCAGGCACCTGGGGCACCGTATAGGGGGAGGGGTTCATGAATTCAGAGAGGTCCATGGTGCACTCGCGCTCATCCTGGGACACATGGATGGACTGGATAGGGGGGAAGCGTGGGTAGGCATCCCGGAAGTCCTTCAGCCTCAGCCGCCGCTGTACCAGGCCCCTGTTGGACCGCTCAACAAACACCTGCGGGCAGCAGGTAACAGGCAGTGGGCAAGGCATGTCAGAACCCCAGCTCCCAGCCTGCATCTCCCACCACCCGGAGGTGCCGAGGAGCCTACCTTGTGCTTCAAGAGGACAATCAGCTGGGAGCGCAGGATCAGGCCCTGGAGCCGAGCTGACTGCAGGGAAGAGACAAATGGCCTTGTCTGCGAGCAGAGCCCAAGTCCTAGCACCTGCCTGCCTGGCTGAGGCCCTGCTGAAAGCTCAGAGGTGTGAACGGGAGGGCAGGCAGTGTCTGCGCAGCAGGTTCAGCACGTCTGCTCGGGGACCTTGGCCCTAGTCAGGTTCCCCGCCACACCCCCCATCAACGTATGGTCAGTCGACTGGCACTGGCTTTGCCTAAGGCACAGGCTTGCTAACCCCCAAACACCTGGGAGGGGCAGGGGGACTCACAACGAAGAGCAAGGAACGAAGTGCCTGGGTTGCGGCATGTGCTGGGGGGAGATGCAGACCCGGCCCTGACAAAATTCATCCCAAACCTTCGGGAGCTTGGGACTGGGTGGGCCACATGTGCTGTCAGGCCTCTCCTGACAACAGGCACAGCCACGGCTGACGGTGCAGCGTGGGGTATGAGCATGACACCGGGCCTGGCACTAACCTATCCACGGGGACAGTCGTCACTAACCTACCCACGGGGACAGCGCTCACACAGCTGTGGGACTCGGCTCCTTTCAGTTAGTGGAATTCTACCATAAACCCAGACAAGTCTCTCTGTCCCTGCATACCAATCCTGCCCATGCCCTGCTTGACAGGTACAGGGGAAGAGTATGGCTTCCACGGGGACAGCGCGCACACAGCTGTGGGACTCGGCTCCTTTCACAGTTAGTGGACTTCTACCATAAACCCAGACAAGTCTCTATGTCCCTGCAAACCAAGCCTGCCCAACATGCCCTGCTTGACAGGTACAGGGGAAGAGTATGGCTTCCCTGTGAGGGAGGGAGGCAGGACCTGGCCTGAGGCCATGGGCTCCTGTGGGACAGCAGCGGACCCAGGTCCACCCACCCAGGCCCTGTACCTGGGAATCGTCGGTGGACTCCACCACAGGGAACCCGTTGTGATTGGACGCCGTGTTGCTGAGCACATCCACGATGACGCCCACTTTCTCCCTCCTCCGCAGGCAGGTGACCGGCGTGCTCATCACCTCCCTGTGGAAGAGCACACACTCGTCCACTGTTGGCCACAGGGTCACAAACCATGTGTCCCTGGGGGTTCCTGAATGGCCTCTCTTCACAGCAGAAATGAAGTTCAACAGGCAGGAAGCTGCTGGATGCAGTAGCCACGAGAAGGGATG